CTGGGCAGCTGCTCCCCTCCAGACCCCAAGACACTGTCCCCTGGACAGCAAGGACATTTTTCTGAGGAGCTTCCCCAGCTCCCTCTCTCAGGCAGTTTTTGTCCACCTTGTCTAGATTTGGCCTACTTCCCCATCACCCAAATCTGTGCTTCGATGGCAAAGTCAGTGGTGATAGATAAACCTAACCACAGGAACACGGCCAGATAGCAGAAGGCCAGGAGCTCTTGCAGGCTGCTGTCACAGGCACAGAGGAAGGCCATGTGCTGCTGTCACAACAACAGGAGCAACATGGAGGGAGCAACAGGAGTCCCCCCCTCCCATGCCCTGTATGTATGTGCTCTGTCATTCCTCCGTGGTCACCATCAGCCTGTGGGAATGTAAGTGAATGAGTTAAGAGCAGCCACAAGTCAATCATCCTAAAGTGACAGGATTTCCCCCGTTTCTAGAGCAAGGATGGTGATACAGCAGTGCCAGGATGAGTGGCAGCACCCTGGGCAGACAGACTGCAAGTTTGCATATGAGAAAGCATAAAAACATTTTTAAAAGCACAACGTAACCTCAGACATGTCTAATACAGCTGAGCGGGCACAGATCAAGCCTTTTTTTTTTCGGAAGGTTCAGATTTCAGACTCTCTATCCCGAAGGTATTTCTTTAAGGCACTCATTAACAAATAAGTTTGGAAGCTCTATACTTAACTACTCATGTAGCAACAACAAGCTGGGGACTGTGTGAGATTCAAACTATAACCTAAACATCAAAACCAAAGCTATACGTGTTCTTTTGACACAAAGCATCTGTCTGCATCTGGCCTGATGCATCAGTGGTGCCAGCTGCAGGTAGAGCAGAGGCAGGAGGTCCAGAGAGCTGCAGTCTGCCCCTGCTGAGTACTGGCATGCTGTGGGATCATGGAACCAGTCAGTCCTGACCCAAATAGAGATGGCTGTCCTGTGAGGGACATGCTGGGCCTGATTTGTAAAGATGCCTGTGCCTTCTGTTGCAAATATTTTTGTTTTAAAATAAGCCCTGTAATTCAGGTCATTGCCATACCCAGCAGGTCCCCAAAGAGGAGAGTCTCACATACAACACTTTCTCCTTTTATAATGTGTCCCCTACCTTGTCATCCGTACCACAGCTGCAAAGTGAGACTTTTCTTGAGCCCTGATGTGAAAGACCTGTATAGGTGCTGATCTCAGATTCAACCAGAACTTTGCTTCACTGGACTTTGAAATTGTGGCTTATATAGCACCAGCAGGAGGACTTGTCTGGAAATACTATAGAGATACTAAGTATGTATCCACAAACAGCCACAACAGACGTGTTAACAGAGCACCATAAAGTCAAATGAACATTAAGTAGTAATACTGGGCTATAGAGTGTTTTGCTAAGAAATGAAAACAATCAACAAAGCACCAAATGTAAAGATGGCACAGGCCATGTTTTGCAATAGTCTGTAAAGATATGGCCAGTTTTTCTTCTTAAATTGCCATTGCTTTGTTTTTGTTTTTTAAAGAAAGCAAATAGCTTATACACTATTCACATAAAATGGTAATTTGTAATCCTTTTGAAATTCAAGTCAAACTTGAATTGAATCAGACCTGATAATGCATTCTAAAAGAAAACAAAACACCAGAGAGTTCAGAAGTCCTGAGAGAACACCCTGATACTGGCTTCACTCTAGATCCTTTCCCTGATTTTCACAGCGTATTGCATATGCCACATACCCCCAGAAAGAGCAAATAAACAAGTGATCGTTGTGCTCCAAGATCTCATTTAAATCAGAGAGCTGGGAAATAGGCAACCTGTTCCTGACTGCCTCTTGCTTCCCGAGTCACCTTCGTCATGCCACCGAATCCATTTGTCTTAACTTCCCTCCTCTGCCACGTGAGTTTAATATATGAGAATATAACATACACAAAAGATCAATGCTGGTTTTAAATGACCATTATTGACAATGACACAAATCCATGTGGATTGCAATGTTGAGAGCAAGATTTTCCAGGAGCTCCAAGTGCTATTTGGGGAAAGAAAGTTAATCTAGAGGGCAGGTGTTTGCTGGTTACCACCACTGCACCCAAGCAGCAGAGATGGTGCCATCCATCCCTCAGCTGAACAGTGCTGTGGCGCCCAGCACACCCTGATGCCACATGGAAAACCTCAGTCTGCTGTCGCACCTGGGAGCTCTGAGGACCCCACAGCAAGTCAGGCACATGGATGACACTCCCCCTATGCCCAGCTCTGAGCTGAGACACCCACTGAGCCCAGCACAGGCAATTCCCCCTCCCCCGTGAGGGCTGCTGGGGCCTGGGCTCTCCCCGCCTCCCCAACGATGGCCGTACTGGGCCTCGACCTTTCCCTCAGGGCTCCCGCAGTTCATTTCTGAGGTGGTGAGGGGCAGCAAGTCAGGCACATGGATGACACTCCCCCTATGCCCAGCTCTGAGCTGAGACACCCACTGAGCCCAGCACAGGCAATTCCCCCTCCCCCGTGAGGGCTGCTGGGGCCTGGGCTCTCCCCGCCTCCCCAACGATGGCCGTACTGGGCCTCGACCTTTCCCTCAGGGCTCCCGCAGTTCATTTCTGAGGTGGTGAGGGGTGTCCAGCATGATGCCCAGCTCTGAGCTGAGACACCCGCTGAGGCCAGCACGGGCAATTCACCCTCCCCCGTGAGGGCTGCCGGGGCCTGGGCTCTCCCCGCCTCCCCAGCGATGGCCGTGCTGGGCCTCAACCTTTCCCTCAGGGCTCCTGCAGTTCATTTCTGAGGTGGTGAGGGGTGTCCAGCATCCCAGACCCCCCTTGCTCTGGCCCTATAGGCTCTTCTCTTCGCAGCTGGTGCTACCTGGAGGTCAGGTCCTCCTCCAGTACCTCCCAGAATTGTTGTCCTCTGCTGCTGTGAGGGCAGTGAGGGCACAGGGCTTGGTCTTGTGCCTCACCGACAGAAGGACAGCTGTGAGTCTTGGCATGGGGGCAGTGAGAGGGCCCCTGTAATTCTACTCAGCCCGTGGCTGCCGTGCCATGACGTGAATGCACAGAGCAGACCTCCTAATGCTCAATTCGGACAAAAGCCAAGTGGCAGCCCTCAAATTTTCCCTCAGTAAGGACTGCAGGATCCATCCAGTGTTTTGTTGAGAGCATGCATGAGTGTGGTTTAGGGACGTGGAGGAGAAACAAAATCCCCCTCAGTTAATGTACGATATGAAATCACTTGCTCACCTGTGGAAGGTAGGAGAGGCCCAAAGAGCTGTCCCCACCCACAGCAGGTTATACCCAGCTCGGTGCTGGGCTCTGCTCGGCTTTTGTAGCAGCCTCAGTCTCCTGCACCTCTGCTGCCTGCGGGAGCTTCTCTCAGCTGAGAGCAGCGACAAGCTCACCACTCTTGGAAAGCTGAGGGAAGACTGTAATATATCATAGTGCAGAGTATCGAGAGGTCCTGCTGTGGTCCTGTTTGGATCTAATGACACCAGGACGTTAATAGGAAGGCTCTGCCATGACCCTGTGCTTTCAAAATCCACCATTATCACTTCCTTGCTCACAGCATTAACAGCCAGATTCAATTACTTCCCTATGGTGATCATCTCCACAGAGAAGAAAATCAGCAGGAGGAGTTTTCTTTACAAATACAAACAAAAAATCAAGTCATCAAACTAGTTGATTTTTCTTAGAATGAAAATGAATCAGTCAGATCATCTGCTGCAGAGGTGTGAAGCTGTTTGAATTTAGGAATCACAAAACGTGTGGCTCTACAGGCAGCACAAGGCAAAGACGGCATTCAGTGGCACCAAGGCAGGACTTGGAGATGAAGTTAAGCCAGCTCCAAAAATCTAAACCCAGCTTGGTTTCTGACAAGGTCAAGATCTGCCTTGAAGTCTGCAGCGCAACCATTTAGTAGCATGGTTGAAACCATGAGAGGCCAAGGGAGAAGCATGAAGCTACAAATTGTCTCAGGCAGGCCAAAGAAGATGCTTCCTCTTGATAGGAATCTGCTTGATTCTTCTTTATACTTGATAGGACCAGTATAGGGTATTTACTTAAAATGCCATAGTTTATTAACAGGAGTTTTAAAAGGAATTAATGCCTTTTGCTATGACAGTGTAAGCTGACCAGGGGATTTTTCCTGACACAGAAGAAGAAGAAAAGCTCATGAAAATATAACAAAGGTCAAATGCCATTTTTAGTTGCATGCTGCCTTTGCATTTTCCAGCACTTCCTTCCAACTGACTCATAAGTACCCTCTGACCAAAAACCAGCATGTACTGCTAATGGGGTTCAATAGTATTTTCTGTCTCCCTTGCTGTAACTTTGACTCTTTGTAATGAAATTACAGTCCAGACTGAATAAACCCAGTGAACACAAAGGTCCATTGGATAGTGCCAAGGGAATCTGAGACACTTGAATCAGAAGAGGCTCTTTCTAGATGGATGATTGCATCAGTGAAGTGCAGCCTATTGGGATGTTCTGTGATAACATGACCTAAGAGATGAAGAACAATCCCTTGGTCAGCCAGGCAGACTGAAAGGACAGACCTGTCACCTGCATCTTGAACACCAGGTCATCTCACCGAGTGCTGCTGACTGAGTACTTTTCATCAGCCTGGGAAGACCTTGAAACCTTTCCCTGTGCCTTTGGCTGTACTCAGGACAACTATCACAGCTGGAGATGAACTAGAGCAATACAATATTAAAAGCATATCCACAGCGTGCTAAACACAACTGGTCAATAGGAGCAGGATCAAGCTAAAATATAGCCACAGAGGTAGAAAAAACACAATCCAAAAACCTGACATCTCACAGTTAGCTTTCAGGAGAGCACCACAGCAATGTGAGGAAGAATAGAGTATTTCAACGAAGTGGGTGGAGAAAAGCATGAAGGCATCTCAAACAGCTGCCTTTGGCAGAACTGGACACCAGGACAGCTGACTGAGGCTCAAAATAACAAGACAATCCCTCCACTCCCTTCCTTGAGGGGAATAAGGTGACTGCTGGGGAGAGCCGGAAGCTGCTCTCTCTAGCTGGCTATATGACTAATCCAAGTATCTACATCAAAGGAACTCTGCTGATTACTGTGAGGGAGCAAAAAAGTGGTCTCGAGCCAAATGAAACTACTAGACCTGAAACATGAGTCTGAGAAAATCCAAGGCTACCCTGATGACACAGGAAAAACAGCTTTAGGCTGCAGAGGTAGCATCAGCTGCCTGTAGTGCCACACAAGCAATTGTCAGGTGTTTCTTCTTCTCCTTCCCATTCCAGCCCTGCCATCTTCTGGCATATTGGGTTCTTGCACTGTATTTTGTCTCCCTCCCCATTTGCAGCTGCTCAGGGAAGTGGTCCTAACATTGCAATATCTTTCTTTCCTTACCCTCCACAAGAGATGCATCCAAATGTTAAGTGTCTTCTTTTTCTTCCACATTCCAAGTATTTGAGCAAGAGAGATGGGATAAAACATGTACTTTCTTTTTCTCTGCAGGACAGGTTGTACCTACTTCTCCTGGCTTTCCTACACCCCACAGTTCTTTGTCCCATATAGAAAATGTGTGTAACCCTGCAGTAGTATTACTTCAATTATTGGTAGTTCCTAGGTAGCCCTTCCCTCCCTATGGCAATTCTTTAATTATTTATGCCTGTATGGCATCTTGTGCCTGTCTTGTACTACTATAAATACTGACAAACACAGTACCTTGTCCAAAGTGAAGGAGAAAAAGGCAAATGATATCTGTATAAGTTTCTGAATGCTGCATTGGCAATTAAATACTGCGAGGTGAGGAAAAGAGTAAAATCTCTCAGCCAGCAATTGATTATTTCTAAGAATTAAACAACTTATCCTAGGCAAATTTGAAGGAGGAGTACTCCTGGGATTCATTCCTGATGAAATGCATTCTTCAACCCTATTGATACCCCAGCACATTAGTTACTGCAAATTGGACACCTTAGATCTGCAGTCATTTTAAAATAATTTAACCTGGTCCCCTGATGCTCTTCCCACCTACCTTCTCCCCTGTCTACATCAGAGTTTTTTTTTTCATTATTGTGTAGAAATATCTTTTTCCCTGTTCTTCTCATTTTAAGATGTTTGCACCCCATACAGAGGAAGCCCCCCTGCCCCAGGCTAGCTGTTAGATCCTGTACATCCACGGAGAAAACTCTGACCGAAGTCTGGAACATCCAGATTCCAAAACATTTTCATAATGAAACTCTGCAGCTGAAAACCCTGCAAGAGATTTTGATACCCACAAACTATCCTACAGAAAACATTGTTCTAAAACAGCTTTTCTTTCTATGGCAAACAGGCATCATAATGTCTGCCCCTCCTGCTCATCCAGCTGTTTATATTTTGCAGGAAATCTGTGAGAATCCACGGTTTATTATTGGTGGAGCCAACAGAACAGATATCTGCCAAGGAGAATTAGGTATGAAAAATCTTTCTTCAACTCTGCTTTTTTTAAAGTCTGCATCATAGTTTAGCTCCCACTTAATTTTGTTTTGCTTTTAAGGTGATGTTTGAAGTCCTCTGGCTCAGTATACCACTACACATCTACTGATTCCTTCTCTGTGTAGCAAATCACTGTTATCTGCCCAGTAGCAATCTAGGGAAGAACTGTAAGTGAAAGATGCTTTGCAGGGTGTTTTGATTTTCATGAAGTACTATCATGAGTGTGTTACAAAACAGCATTTGGCCTTTCTTACAGGCTTTGAGGAGGGTCAAAATTAGTTCAGGCAAGAATAAGAGTTGTTTGACTAAGAGAAAAATTTAGTTGGCTACTGCTGTATCTTTTCAGGTATTTAGTCCTGTTATTTCCTATAGCTTCTGAAGGCCACCAGCTAAGTGTTCCTTGTACTCAAGGACAACCTCTGTATTGAAGACCTTGAGCTCAGATGCTTAAAGATACTTTGATATATACAGCCACTACTTAAGTACAAGTGATGCTTCTACAACAGCTGTCCACTCAGCACTCACCTGCACTGCTTTGTAAAGTCATTCCCCACTCAACTGTCCCACGTCTTTCATGGTTTCATAACTTCTGCAATCTTTTCCCTAAGCTAATACATCCTAAGGTGTGTTAGTCTTTTCATGTGAGTGTTGTTCTGTGCTTGTGACTGTCCACATCACCCTACCAGTTCTTTTTTTTCCAATTTATTTAAAACTGCCTTTCTTTTTGACCAGAACTTCACAATTACCATGGTGTGGGTGAAAATTAATTTATATGCGTAGTATGTTCTCTCTTTTGTCTTTCATTCCTTTCCCAGCTACTCATAGCATTGTTTACCTGTTTGACTTCTGCTGAACATTGGATAGTTTAGAAAATTCCTGGTCATAGTGGTCCCCACATTCCTCCTAGGGGTAAATAGGTAGCAGAATGTACTGCTATATAGCGAGAGCTGACTTTCCAAAATACACACAAATACATTTGTGTTTTATCACTCTACCAGTTTCACAAATTTCTTTTACAACTCACTCCAATCAAATTTAGTTTTCACTGCCTTGTATAATTCTCTCACCCCACTAATTCACACTGCTCAGACAAGATTACCCTATAACCTCTCTTACAGCAGCAGCAAAGTGGTTTTAATTAAGGGTTGGGTCATCCATTGCTGAACACAGAAGTACTATGGGAAAAAGACACTTTCCCAGAGCTCTCAAAGAGGCAACAAGAGTCTGAAGGAGGAACTGAAAAACACTAAAGGGGACAGTGTTTACAACAGCACAGGCAGTAATTCAAAAAGAGGAAAACACATCAGAGCAATGAAGCAGGAAAGAGGCCCCACAGAATGACGACTGGGACAGTGGCTTATCTTGAGAGAAGAAAATGAAAATGAGAGATTGAACCTCAGCAACAGAGCTCTGCCTGTGAGAGAGTTCTCTCAGCTGGACTCTGTCCTAAGTCTGAAAGAACAACTGCAAGGACAGGGAAATCTTAACACCATTAACAGGACTCCTCAGATTTTAGGCATTTTCTAAACTACAGGGAAGATCATCTGTTTAACAGGTGTGTACCTAGCAATGAATGATGCCAATGAGCATTTGAAGAGCACAAGTGAATCAAGTGCTGAAGTACTGCAGAACACATGGAGTAAGAGTCTGAAAGGTGATGGCAAGCTCTGCTGAGAATGAACGTGACCCTTGGCAGTATCTCAGGTTTTCCCTTTGATTCTTGTTCACTTTGTCTGCTGCCTCTGCCCCTTTACAGGTGACTGCTGGTTCCTGGCTGCCATTGCTTGCCTGACACTGAATAAAAAACTCCTCTGCAGAGTCATACCTCATGACCAGTCCTTTATACAAAACTATGCTGGCATCTTTCACTTCCAGGTGAGTCCCTTGGTTTAGCAGGAAGCAGATGTATTTACTCCAGAGAGAGCTCAGATCTTGGCGTGCTCTTCCCTCTTGATCCCTCACCCTTTGGGAGCACAAGTGTCAGCAGGGAAGGGAGAGGTATTGCCTTGCTTCATCCCAACTCTGCCAGCAGGGCAGGCACAGAGGGGCCACATACTGGCAGTTAGGGAGCGTGACCCCCCCCCCGCAGCCCCCGCCGGGCTCCGGGGCCCT